ACACTCACCTTTACTGGCTCCATCCCCGCCTCTTCGACCTGTCTGTTTCCTCTCCACTTATCTTCTCCTCTATCCATCTTCTATCCGCCTCCCACTCTCTCCCTATTTATTTCAGAACCCCCTTCCCCTCCCCCATTTCTGATGAAGGGTCTAGGCCCGAAACGTCAGCCTTTCTGCTTCTATGATGCTGCTTGGCTTGCTGTGTTCATCCAGCTCTGCACCTTGTCTCGGATTCTCCAGCATCTGCAGTTCCTGCTATCTCTGATACAATTTCTTTCCTAGTCTCTGGGTTATTTTATTAGGCAATAGCAACAATGCCTTCTGTATTTGTGCTGACATATAACATTTCGAATCTGAGAAGTAGAGTTAAAATTCATCCAGGTCCTCAATTGTAAACTTCTATCAAATTTCCTGTCAGCCTTCCCTCCAGTTGCAGTCCCAACTTCTTTAATCTGTCCTCAAGTGAAGTTTCTCATCCTTGGAACCATTCTTGTCAACCACTTCTGCACACTCTAATGCATTCACATCCATCCTACAATGTAACATGAAGAACCGTACACAATGTTGTAGTTGAATTGAGCAGATGTCTTCTACAAATTCAGCATCTGTTCCTTGCCCTTACACGGTGTGTCCCTGTTAATTGTTATGGCACAGGAAGAGACAATTCGGCCTATTGTGTCTGCACCAGTTGTCACCTTGGATGCCAGTCCACCATTGCTTCAAGTTTAAACTGTCGTCATTTTGTTTAAATCCTTCAATAACCACATGCACACCTGTGCACTTCCACACGTACCCCCTGGCGTGTGGGGGTAGGGTAATGACATGAGAAAAGGTACTCAAGCCCCTAAAATCACTGAATTCGATGCGGGAGCCACTACAGCAAGCCCAAGACGGAGATGTTGGGATGCAGCTGTTGATTTTTCCAGGCTGACCTTTACCCATTCCTTTGTCTGCCCAACTGTTCTGAGTTCCTTCTCCACCTATCGTTTACTCCTCCTGCCTCCATTGTCCCACTCCATCTTCAGCATATATACAACCTTTTTCTAGCTACAGTCAGTTCTGAAGAAGGTTCACTGGACCTGAGGCGTTAACTCTGCTTTCTCTACACAGAAGCTGCCAGACCTGAGTTTTTCCAGCAATTCCTGACTTTGAATTTACCGCGAACAGTCATGCCCGTTGTTCGTTAGAAATAAGGCCAGAAACTGGCTGCATTCACCTATAGTTAAAGCTGAGGACACTGTAAACTTTACTTGCCATTCTCTCAACTTGTCCTGCCATTTTCATGTTCTGTGCACATATGCACCCTGGTCCCTCTGCTCCTGCACCACCCCTCATCCCCTCGTAGAATTGTGCCCTTTATTTTGTATTATCTTTCAAGGTTCTTCCTACCAAAATGCATCACCTCTCACTTATCTGCCACCTATCTGTCCTCTCCACCATTTGCCTATGTCCTTCTGGAATTCTATGCTGCCCTTTTCACAAGTTACAAGTGTTTATTGCAGTAGATCCCCATCCAAATTGTCCATTTTACTTAGGTGACTGTCCTCTGATTTATCCCCTTCATGATTGAATTTTTAAGGACTTTCTGGGGATTTCAGGCGTGAATTCACCCAATACTCCCATGTATTTTGTGTTTATCTTTTGGTGTTTGTCTGTAGGGATTACAGCATACAACAGAGGCAATTAGATTTCCTGCACCTTTTGAAAATTGTTATTGAATCCACTTCTGTCGGAAATCTGCATCCAGTTTCCTGATTGGTTTCTGCTTCAGTGGTCACTGTGGTAAAACGTCCTAGATTCTGAAGCAACTCTGAAAATATTCTGATACTTACCCTGTGTTCTAATAACAGGTCTAATGAATCCTCAAAATAAATTTGGATATTGTTTGTCATCTGCGTTTGTCCAAGTCACGTTTATTCAGCAAGGTTTAGCAGACCATAAGCACCACACCAATAAAATGTGAATCCCAAAGGAAGGTTTTCAGTTGAAAAATGAATCCTTTAATCTTAAAAGTTGAATTTTAGCTGGAGGTAGAGTTTCCATTGGATTAGTCTTCAAGACTCTGTACCTATTAGGTGCACCAAGTGCCACCGAATATAGTTCAGGATAAAGTTGCAATCTATATATAGAAATAGAATTGCTGGTGAATGAAGTTCCAGCACACACAGTAATTGAAAGCTAATTTTAGAAGGTCTGCTCCGTTTCAGTAAAAAGGTCAAATCCTAGATTAATAGAATACAGAAGGAGACCACTGACTCATTGTGCTTGTGCTAACCCTTGAAAAGGCTAACCAGTTAGTCCCATACTTCTGACCTCCTTCTGTAGCCTTCCAACATTTCCTTTTCATTATCTAATTTCCTTTTGGAAACTATGGAATCTGTTTCCAGTACCCTTTCATAACTTGCTGTGTGAAAAATAAATTCCTCATTAAACTTCAGGCTCTTTTTTTCTAATTAAGTAGGTGTGCAATTGTTGCTGTCTCTATGACTGCTGGAAATAGCTTCTCCTTTTTGCTCTAATCAAAGCTGTTCATGATTTTGAGCATGTAAATCAGTTCTTCCCCTCTCCTGTCCTGTTTTCAAGGATAACTACCCCAGCTTCTCAAGTCTGTCTACATCTGAACTACCTCTTGTTTAGCTCAGTGTCCACTTCAGCTTCATTTAAGGTCATTACATTTTTAAAGTCTGATGCCCAGAAAGAGACATACTACTTCATTCATCTTTAAAGCTTTAGCATGCCATTCTTTCTTTTGAACTGTTCCTCTGTTTATAAAGCTAAGATCCTATGTGTTGTTGTTCGAGCCTTTTTAACTTTTCTTGCATCTTCAGAGATTTGAGTACTTGCACATCTTGTCTATCTCTTCCTATACCCCTCTTTAAGACTGTACTGCTTAGCTTATATTACCTCTCATTCTTTACTATCAGAATACATTAGTTCACACTTCTTAATGATAAGTTCCACCTGCCATGCTTCTGTTCGTTTTGCAAGTATCTGTCTTTTGGTACTATCCTCCTCAGTGTTCATTATCTTTGTATTTTGTGCTATCTGCAAATATGCCTATGTACTGACGTCTATACTGATACTGACCCCTTTCAGAATCAATGTGATAATTGGACCTGTCTAAAAAAACAGTTCTTAACTCTCTTTTTCTGTTTCCTAGCCAATTTCCTACACAGGCTTCCATTTCATCTCTACTGCTAGGAACTGCAAGTTTTTCTCTGAAGTTCAATGTATGGCATTTCCGAAGTTCATCTTTTTGCACCAGTTGATCTTTTCCTTTGAAAGATACACAGTTCTAGTTGAGCATATTTCATTTTAATAATCTTTTTCTTCCTGTCTTTGAATGGAGCTAAATTTGTGTCCTGAGAAAGCTGCTGCTGTCATGTTGCAGTAGAATCGAGCCGGCTTATGAACTTGGATTTTTCAAGGTGTTTCAGTGCTGACTGAAAGGTGCTGACTATTGATTGGTTACCATACTGATCCAACTAAGTGCACTTTATCCAAAAGCTACAGTTTTAAAAATCAGAAACATGTAGAAAAGAGACAATTCTTCTTGATGTATTCCAGCGCGGGATTTAAATGGAGTGTTGCCAGCAAGAAAACTTAAGTCCTTGGAAGAAAAGGTCCAGGCGTTGCGTGGACAGTTATCAATGCAGAGGCATCTTTTCAAGGGAATTTGCCTTTTCCTCAACTATCATATTTACTTTGCTGTGTGGTATAGTGTAGATAATCAGTGCCAATTAGCTGTAATTAAAAAGAGAAGGCAAGCAATTATCAGGTCAAAATTTTCTAGGGCATATTTCATACACCACTTTCTAAAGTTGTAACACCACGGACTGTCTGGAGATGTTGCTTTACTGGAAATTCTACTGCTTATTTAAATATTCAAATCTCCATCCCACTTTTAGATGTTTAGGAATATATCGAGTGGAACTTTATCCTTTTTATTAGGTAAGGCTGAATGGTGATGCTCCCTCTTGCCATATTGTGGATAAAGTGCTTTGTATTGATGTTGCATACAAGCTGTAACTAGTGTTGGTTTCAGCCTGTAGTGTACTTAGTTTTGAGAGAGCAGTGTGCATTCTCCAGTCAATACTAGGGCCAATTCCCATCTCTGTTCCTCATTATTTTTCAACTTCTGTTTTCTGTGATTATTCATATTGTTTCTACACAGCTTCTTTTTTCTTCGTTAAAATTCCCCCATTGTAACTTACTCTTGTAACATTTTCTTCCTAATCAAATGGTTCAGACCTGGATAAGGAATTCAAAAAGAACGATATACCTGCTGTACTAGAGAACTAATGTATAAAGTTGAGATTTGTTTCCAGTGTGGTCTGTCTAGTTCTGGGTGCTAACCTGAGGAGAAGGTAGAAAGGAAGAAATGCTATATGGAAGAGAAAGTCTCTTGCTTAACGTTGCTACCACTCATTGTACGTGCTAATACCTTGTCATGGAATAGCATTCGGAGCAGTCATGAAATATTCAAAACAAATCCCATCACTGTTCTAATGAAAATAGAAAATGGTGGAAATAGTTAGCAGGTCCAGACAGTAACAGAGTTCATGTTTCAGCTCTGTGATCTGTCACAGCTGAGAACATAAAGTGGGTGTAAAACTGTTGGTTTCCAGCTGATTAAGGAGTTAAAATTTTATTCTGTTATATCAGTTGTTAAGATACCACTCTAGTAAAAGTAGACCTAATAATTTAAACATTCAGTGCCACGTTATTGATTTTTTGCAACATTGGAGCAGCCAAGGCCTCCCCTGCAAGTGGGTTGCCTTGAAGTCCAGTAACTGTTATTGTATAATTATATCACCATTGCTGTCCCTATGATCTATGAAAGTGATTTTTGGCGTACCAGGTTAGTCAGACCATAATCTGTTTCTTTAAACTCTCCTTTAGGTCCCCACTCCAGCGACATATCACCCACCGATTTTGATGTTCAGTTCTTTAGAGTATGTAATGTGCCGTGACTTAACTCGAACTTTTGTTCAATACAGGGTGATAGCAGTATTCGCTACTTTGAGATCACGGATGAAACACCATATGTCCATTACTTAAACACGTTTGCCAGCAAGGAGCCACAACGAGGGATGGGATACATGCCAAAAAGGGGCCTTGATGTTACCAGGTGTGAGATTGCCAGGTAAGAGGTGCTGAGTTGTGGTTTGAGTAAACTGTAACTTTGTTCAATAAAGTTTTCCGTCTTGGGTTGTTTCTGTTCTTTAAATTCTTGTATAATGCAAATGTCATTCTCTTAGTGGGAAGAATGGAGATGAGAAATCTATAAATCTATAATCTGTATATAATTGTGAATGGTCTGTTGGTTTGGGAACATATCGTTCATTACTCAACCCAGAAAATACACTCCTGATCTTGACCTGCTGCCTTGTACTAATGTTGAGAAAGTTAACAAAGCTATCAGATGAATTTGAATTGGGCCAGAGATTCTTTAATAGGTTTTATGAATGTCTGCAACTTAACATAATGTCTTCAGTACGAGTTATCAAGTTAATAAAATATAAATAGTTGCAGAAACCACTCAATGTTTTCACAGCTGACTGGTAATTACTACAGCCAAAGAGGAAGCAAAAACAGAACATGTTGGAAATTGAGGTCAGGCAGCACCTTCAGAGAAGTATATGAGCATTAACCTTTCAGAACAGCGCTGATGAAAAGGCGTACACGGTATTTTGCTTTTCTAACCAGATGAAGTTAGACACGCTTTGGCAGCTAGTACTGGTTCTATTAGTAGCAGTCAGATATCTAGTTTAGAAAATTGTGTGACTTTAAACTGCAGTCCCCAAATTTAAGCTCAAAATGTAGTCTTGTCTCATGGACCTATTCGGAGAGAGAGAGAGATGTTACACACTTCTGGAGGAGGTAGGATTCAGACACATACGCACAAAATTGCATGCCAACATTTCAATGTAGTACTGAGGGAGTGATAGAGCTTCCGGTCACTCGGCACTTTATTTTCCATCTCCACTTCAAAGCTTTATCAGTGGCCTTCCACAATGTTCGGTACAAAAGAAGCTATTTGTTAATTAATATGACAATCGATGTTGGTTTGGGGTAAATCAGAAATTAATGTTTATGAAAGTAGCAAGATTTAGTTTATATGCAGATATAACAGTGTGGAGAAATTCTGAAGAAGGGTCCCAACCCAAAATGTCAACTTTCCTACTCCTCTGCTGCCTGGCCTGCTGTGTTCCTCCAGCTACAACACTGTATTATCGCTGACTCCAGCATTGGCACTTCTTACTATCTGAGTTAGTTTATATGCATCCTTGTTTGTCTTGTTGGTTTGCAATTCATTACCTCATCTGTTAATAGCTTGTTATAAATTAAAAAATGATGGTTATCCAATTGTAATTCCATTATGCTCAAGTGATTAAAAAGCATCTGAAACTGGAGATGTGACTGCATCCTTGATCTCTTCAGATGCACTTTACTGCTCCAAATAACACCTCTCCTAAAAGTTTAGGTGTATCAGCATTAGGTATTATTAGATGCACTATTGATCACTTAAAATGATGCCAGAAATGTTTTGCTTTCTGGATCATTGACATATTTTGCACCAACAATTTCTGTATTGATGTGCTTTTTGTAAAAGTTTCATTTCTTAAAACATTTGCAATATTACTTTCTATTTGCAGGTTCTTTAAACTTCATGAAAGGAAGTGTGAGCCAATCATTATGACAGTGCCAAGAAAGGTGGGTGAAATTTTAGCAGAACTTCAGTGTATGTGCTTCTTGCATGGAGGTAAAAGCTAATGTAATTTGGTGTTGATTCTACCAACAGCTGAATGAATGAAAGAATTCTTTGAACCCTGCCAATGGCTGGAGATTGAATGGTGGTGCTAAGAAGAATGGAGGAACAGGCTAGATAGTGTAGAAAGCATTTGTGGCGTTAAGAATACTGAAGGAAAGGAGCAGTGAACTGTTCCAGACAAGAAAAATGACATGTCATTGCATCCGTCATGTTCAATATTAATAAAGCAGAGCAGTCATGAATAGTTTAATCTTTTACTTGCTAACAGTCTCTTGTGCTGCAAATTTCCCTTGATTTTGGTCGCTTGCTTTTGCAAAATTACATGCAACAGGGAATCTGTCATTCAGGTGAGAAGAATGCTTCCTCAATGTGTAGGATTCTGCGCATTTCATGGATATGAGATTGAACGATGGACAGATTCTCCACAACATAGTGGGGATTAGTAGGAGGAGTTCTGATGAAGGATCACTGGACCTGAAATGTTATTTCTGTCAATAAATTCTGTCCTCAAATGATGCCAGACATGCTGAGTTTCTCCAGCAGTATCTCTTTTTGTTTGTTTCAGGTCTCCAACATCTATATTTCTTTTGGTTAGGAGGAGGAGGTTACCCAGATGCCTTCCTCTAGCCAAGTAGAGAGTTTGCTGTTGACATCTACATTTAAAAATCCTAATACTGTTATAATGTAGAACAGAAAGCTAGGGGATCATTAAATTCTACATCACACCACTTGAACGGAGAGGTTTCAAAGTAGCTCACCAATATCGCTGTAACCAAGTCAGTGACAAGAATGGGCAGGCTATAACACAACTCCCAAATAAATCATATCAGAAGAAACTTCATGACATTATTTAACTCAATTCGGGTTCTCATTTTATTTTCAGTATAAGCATTTTTCTTAGCTTTTGCAACTATGTTGCATTTGAACTCGTGTTAATATAATCCATTTCAATCACATCCCATGAAACTTGGCGATTCTGGGCCTTTACTGAAGTATGTTTATTTCTTTATTGTCTTGTAAAATTTCTGCTTTTTCCTTTTCTAGTCTGACCTTTATCAGGATGATCTGTACCCTGATACACCTGGACCAGAAGCAGCATTGGAAGCGGAAGAATGGCTTGAAGGACAAACCAAGGACCCGATTCTCATCTCCCTGAAACATGGCTATGTACCTGGGAAAAACCGAGAGCTTAAAGTTCAGAGGAACCGTTTAGACAAGCCTCCGCAGAACAGGAAAACTGAAAGTGGCAGTACTCCCGTGAAGGGGCCCTCTCTCAATGCAGTAAGTATATGATAGCTGAAGGCATTAGATACCGAAAAGACTTCGAGCCCTGACAGTATTCCAACAATAATGCTGAAAACCTGTATTCTAGAACTAGCCATCTCCCTAGCCAAGAGAGGAAGCTCCATCCTGGAGTGTCATCTGTAACTGCAGTAATGGCTGTCTGTTTACCTGTTTATACTCCCGTCAATATTGTGTCTTACATTCCTCCCCCACCTCACCTCCACCCACACCGCTTCCCAGAACGTCCCGTTGTAAAACTGAGCCACTGGTGGTGCAGTGGAAATGGGTTTGGCTGTACTACCCAAAGGAACCATCAACCTGCAAATATGCACCACTCTAATTCAGTTAGAAAGCGAGGTACACTCAGGAGATACCTTATCTTGCCTTGTCCTCCTAGTCTGCCTGGCTGTCTCTAATACCTTCTCTGTCTGCAGATTCTTAAGCTGCAGGGTCACCATCAGTTGAAACAGCAGCTTGAGCTGTCAAGGCCCAGAATTCTCTTATGGCACAGGATGGGTATTTGACTGGACTGAGGAACCACGCCCCTCTATCAGAGAGATTAAATGTTACTACTTTTGTTTGAGTGGATGAAATTATAACATTCACCAATCACAAACGTGAAGCCCTGTGACATTGCTTACTGATTTTCTTTCACTGGTCCTTAAGAATTGATGAATATTTGGCTCAGTGCTGTGCTCTGTCCTGGGCCTTCTCCTTATCCTCCTATCACCTCTGCTCTTGCACCCTCCAACATCAGGTCCTTTTTTAAAACCTCTGTCTTTATCAATTGAAACTAACCTGATGTTAGAATTCAGTCAGACCTCCCTAGGACCTACTGCAGCGATGTGCTCTTGAAAGCTTCCTGCTAAGTTAATGCTCAAGGAATTGAAGTTATACTTTAGGGTGACTGGATAATGTGAGGAGGGGTTTTATTTTCAAACTTGTCATCTGTAGCTTTATTAATAGAGGCATAGCAGATGAAAACCAGGGGTGGCTCAGTGGTTAGCACTGCTGCTTCACAGCGCCAGGGACCCAGGCTCAATTCCACCTTTTGGGCGACTGTCTATGTACAGTTTGCACATTCTCCCCATGTCTGTGTGGGATTCCGCCGGGTGCTCCAGTTTTCTCCTACTGTCTAAAGATGTGCAGATTAGGTGGATTGGCTGTGCTAAATTGCCTGTAGTGTCCAGGGATTTTCAGGCTAGGTGGATTAGCCATGGGAAATGCAGGGTTATAGGGAAAGGGTAGTGGAATGAGTCTGGTTGGATGCTCTTTGAATGCGGGGGTGTGGACTTCTTTGGCCAATTGGCCTGTTTCCACACTGTAGGGATTCTATAAATATTAAAAAAAATATGCTAAATCTTTCCACTGATTTGGCCTCAGTATGTGTATTGTTCAATGTTGAACACCAGACTTCTCCAACAAGTGGAAACTGAACTTGAAGCTGACTTCTGTCCAAACCAAGTAATTGAAGTAGGTGTTCCCAGCTGATGTAGTGCTTTGTTTCACTTCAGTGTGCAGCCACTCTGCTAAGAGCTGCAGGTTTCTGTTTTGATGAACTTCCATCCTGCTTCTTAACCACATTAGCAATTGGGAAACTCCCAGAGTTTTGGGCCCCATAGCATAACGGCTGATCAGTTGTGGTACATGTAAACACAATGCCCTTTGACTCATTTTTACCTTTTAGATAATGCAACAACGCTGCCTACTTTATAATAGGAGTAAAATAGATGAGTGATAAAAGCTTTAGTTACCTTGTGACTGAGTGTAGGTGTTGGGATGTCATGTTGAGGTTGTACAGGACGTTGGGAAGGCCTCTTCTGGAGTATTATGTCCCATTCTGGTCACCTTGTTATAGGAAGGATATTATTAAGCTGGAGGGGCTTCAGAAGAGATTTATCAGAATTTTGGCAGGAATGGAAGGCTTGAGTTATTAGGAGAGGCTGGATAGGCTGTGACTTTTTTCACTGGAGTGGCGGAGATTGAGGGATGACCTTTATAGAGGTTTATAAAATCATGAGGGGGTATAGGTAAGGTGAATGACAGGTGTCTTTTCCCTAGGGTGTTGGATTTCAACACTAGGGGGCATGTTTTTAAGGTGAGAGGAAAAAGAGGGGCATTTTTTTTTTGTGGTTCATGTGTGGAATGAACTTCCAGAGGAATGGGTGGATGCAGATACAGTTACAACATTTAAAAGATATTTGGATAAGTACGTGAGTAAGAAACGTTGGAGGGATATGGGCTAAGCACAGACAGGTGGTACTGGTTTAGTTTGGGATTATGTTCGTCATGGACTGGTTGGACTGAAGGGGCTGTTTTCGTGCTGTTTGTCTGTATGACTCTATGTAGGAAATTTGACAACTCTTTACTAAGCAAGTTCCTGCAAGCTGCATCAGGTGAATTAACCAGTTTTGATATTTGGTCTTTAACTTGCTGAACCAAGCTGATCATACTGTATAAATTTTACAGTTCAGTTTTAAAATAAACGTATGCAGTGGAGACCCTGTTCAAACACTTTGAAAATGTAAACCTCATCCCCATTAGATTAGAATTATTTATCTGAAGTGGGACAGCAGATACAAAAACAATGACATGTAATACCTGAGTCAAACCTCAGCTAATTACTTTCTCGGGTGAAGGAAAGTGGAAAATAATCTAAACAAGCGAGGTTTTGGAGCTGGATTAAAATTACACCTGTAGACCTAAAGAAAACCTGCATTTAGATTGTATCTTTTACATTTTACAGGATGCTAATTTATTTCAATTAGTAATTTTTTTTTTACTCACGTTGAGTGTGGTCGTGTAGGCAAATGTGGCGTGCTGCCTGTACGTGGGAATACGGTGTACAGCAATAAGATAAATGGCCAGTGAATCTCTTTCGGTGTTGATTGAGATATTGTGATTTACCAGGACAACAGGGTACTCTGTTGCTACTCTTCAGATGGTGCCACAGGATTTTTATTACACCTCTAGAAATGGTAGGGTTCTCACTTAATATCTTACGTGAATGATCTTTGTGCATAAATTCACTGTGTTCATCTAATCATTAATGTATGAGATAAAAAGCTCAGGTCGCAATACCAATGTGTATTGTCCCAGTATAGCAATGTGATTGACTCTTATCTGTTCTCTGGGCAACTAAGGATGGGCAAGAAATTCTGGCCCATCCTGTGACGCCCATCCTGTGACACCCACAGCCAATGAAATGAGTTTAAAACAAACCCCATAGAATATTACTGACCTTCCAACTAGAAAACAAACCAACTTCCCCTACACCGTCTCTCACCAATGCATTACCAACTTGTATATCAAATATACATCCAATTTCATACAAACTCCTTTTGCTAATAAACTCTTGTGTTGAATCTTATCAAAGCCTTCTGAAAATTCATAGTCAACATTTATAAGCACACACCTATCATCATTTTGGTTCAAAAATTCTGCCAAGTTAGTCAAACATTACCTACACTTCAAAAAGACGCTTTGAACAACTGATGTATTCCCAATAAAAACCAAAAGAACTGCGGATGCTGTAAATCAGGAACAAAAACAGAGTTGCTGGAAAAGCTCAGCAGGTCTGGCAGCATCTGTGGAGGAGAAAACAGTTAACGTTTCGGGTCCGGTGACCCTTCCTCAGAACTGTTCACCGGACCCGAAACGTTAACTGTTTTCTCCTCCGCAGATGCTGCCAGACCTGCTGAGCTTTTCCAGCAACTGTTTTTGTTCCTGATGTATTCCCAACACATTAATCACTTTTCCTGGTAGATTCCATGAACTGACCTACATTTAAGACGTTGAACGAGATGTAGACGATTCAGCCCATAGAGACTGCTTTGCCACTCAGATGATGGCTGATCTGATGATCCTTAGTCAATTCAGTGTGGAGCTGGAGTAACACAACAGGTCAGGCAGCACCAAAGGAGCATGAGAGTTGATGTTTCAGGTCAGGACCATTCATCAGGAGTCCTGATGAAGGGTCCCAACCCAAAACGTCAACTCTCCTGCTCCTCTGCTGCCTGACCTGCTGTGTTCCTCCAGCTCCACACTGAATTGACTCTGACTGTAGTATCTGCGGTTCTTGCTAACCCCAAATAATTCTTAATCTCATTTTCCTGCCTTATCGCAATAACTCTTGATTCCCTGATATAACAAGGTGTAGAGCTGGATGAACAAAGCAGGCCGAGCAGGAAAGCTGACTTTCCCTGCGACTCCTGAAACACACACACTCAGCAATGCGCTGGCATCTCCTGGTACTACAATCGAGCCTACCCCAGCTCCGAGCCTCCCTCTCCTAGGCCTGCAAAGGACCCCTCCTGTTTTTCATTCTTTGCAGGATCTACAACCTGAACTCTCAATTCTACTCTGCTTTATTGGACACTAAAAACCGTAAGTACACTAAATTTACTGGTGCCTGCCACCCTACCCAGGACCTTCCCCACAATGTGCCCGCCGCCATTGGCCATGTGGCCACTGTCGGAGCTCCCACGGATGACATCACATCCACCACTTCCGGTACAGCGAACGCCATCGATGCCGCCGCTGATGCCACCGCCTCCATTTCCGAGGCCAACACCACAGACATCAAAGACACACCTGACACCGCTGCTGCCGCCGCAGCCAACATCCAGGACACACCGACCGACGACACACCGACCGACGCCACTCCGCCCGCCGCTCTGCCCACCACCTCCGCAGCCAACAGCTCCAGTGGAGACAATGGCACCCAGCCCTGCCGGGTCTTCACCATCCCCCCCAGACCTCCCCCTTACTGAGGACGAACGGTCAGTCCTCCGTAAAAGGCTCACCTTTATCCCCCTCCACCCTAACATCAACGAATACCGCTCATGCTTGGACGTTGAACAGTTTTTCCTCCGCCTCCACGCTTACTACTTCAATCGTGAGCCTCACCCTCCCTCTACTGACCCCTTCTCCCACCTCCAACACACCCCCTCCTCCTGGACACCACCCCAAGGCCTCCTACCCTCCCTCGACCTCTCTTATCTCCAACTGCCGTCGAGACATCGATCGCCTCAACCTCTCCACCTCTCTCACCCACTCCATCCTGTCCCCCACAGAGCATGCAGCCCTCCGGTCCAATCCCAACCTCACCATAAATCCCGTGGACAAGGGAGGTGCAGTTGTAGTATGGCGCACTGACCTCTATATCGCCGAGGCTAGACGCCAGCTCTCTGACACCTCCTCCTACTGCCCCCTTGATTATGACCCCGCCCCCACCACCAAAACATCATCTCCCAAACCATCCACAACCTCATCACCTCAGGTGACCTCCGACCCACGCCCTCCAACCTCATCGTTCCCCAACCCTGCACCGCCCGCTTCTATCTCCTTCCCAAAATCCACAAACCTGACTGCCCTGGTCGACCCATTGTCTCCGCCTGCTCCTGCCCCACCGAACTTATCTCTACTTATCTCTACTCCATTTTCTTCCCCTTTGTCCAGCAACTCCCCACCTATGTCTGTGACACCACCCACGCCCTCCACCTCCTCCAAAACTTCCAATTCCCCAGTCCCCGACGCCATCTTTACCATGGAAGTCCAGTCCTTATACACTTGCATTCCCCATGCAGGTGGCTACAGGCCATCTGCTTCTTCCTGTCCCGCAGGCCCGACCAGTCCCCCTCTACTGACACCCTCATCTGCTTAGCTGCATTCGTCCTCACCCTTAACAACTTCTCTTTCAATTCCTCCCACTTCCTACAGACAAAGGGGGTGGCCATGGGTACCCGCATGGGCCCAAGCTATGCCTGCCTCTTTGTAGGTTACGTGGAACAATCCCTCTTCTGTACCTACACTGGCCCTAAACCCCACCTCTTCCTCCGTTACATCGATGACTGTATCGGCGCCGCCTCGTGCTCCCACGAGGAGCTCGAACAGTTCATCCACTGCACCAACACCTTCCACCCCAACCGTAAGTTCACCTGGACCATCTCTGATACCCCTCTCTCCTTCCTGGACCCCTCTGTTTCCATCTCTGGCAACTACCTGGAAACCGATATCGATTTCAAGCCTACCAACTCCCACAGCTACCTAGAATACACGTCCTCCCACCCACCCTCCTGCAAAAATGTCATCCCCTATTCCCAATTCCTTCGCCTCTGCCGCATCTGCTCCCAGGATGACGCACTCCACTCCCGAACATCTCCGATGTCCTCGTTTTTCAAGGACCGCAACTTCCCCCTCTCAGTGGTCTAGAACGCCCTCGACCGTGTCTCCTGCATTTCCCGCAACTCATCCCTCACACCCCCTCCCCGCAATAACAACCAAAACAGAATCCCCCTCGTCCTCACGTACCACCCCACCAACCTCCGGATCCAACGCATCAT